GTGGGGAGAGAAAGGGTTGCAGAGGATATGACCCTAAACTTCAGAAACCGCTTCTCTCCTTGGGGGCAAAATATCATTTAGCTTGCATCTTTTCTTGTTTTCTTTTAGTTTATCCAGTTAATGTTCCTGATGTGGGTTGTTGTGCACTCACTGTGAATGCTTGAAGCCTTTAGGAAGATGATAGTTAATTACTGAAGTTTAAAGTCTGCTTTGCATTGGTGTGGAAGTGCTTTTGGAGGTATTTACTCAGCTAGCTCACTGAGCTGTTAAGGGCAGGAAGAAGGCTAGTAGTATCTGGCTCACAGTGAGTTACTGCAAATACATGTTCTGTTTAAAAAAACCCCAAACATTGCACATTACACAGCCATTTTTCACAATACTGCTGGTATAACATTAGCTCAGTGTCACACTATGTTACATTCCTACATTCATTTAAAACAAGCAATGAAATCCATTGTGAAAAAGGAACCTGTCACAAACACAAACCAAATTTATTCCCTGCAGAGTAAAATACAGTCAAAAGGTGAAAAGACAGTATTTTATTCTTTAAATGCTCCTCTTTTAGCGCTCCCTTTATTTTCACAAACAACAGTAGCACTGTTAAGCAGACAGATACATATTGGTGGGGAGAAAAGATAAAAAATATTGCCTTTTGACACATTTTTATGTTCTCTTTTCCAGTTGTCAATGCCGTCTAGCCTAGTATTTTTAACCCTTCCTCTAGATTATTTGTTTTATGACAATAAATTGATATCTCCATCTATTGCTGGACTTCATAGTTTAGTAGCCAGAGCAAAGCACTTCCAATAATGGAATATCCTTGGAATCAGTGGATCAAGTTCTTCCAAATTTTACTCTAAACAACTGCATCAAATTTAGCTTGTATGTGGGCTTTCCAGATAAGCAGTGCTTAAAATACCTTAACAGTGTATGGATATTTTGCAGCCATCTCAGTAAAAGTGTGATTTGACCCTAATATCCTTAGTTGCAATATAGAATCATAGAATAGTTAGGGTTGGAAAGGACCTTAAGATCATCTAGTTCCAACCCCCCTGCCATGCATCATACCAGACCATGTCACCCAAGGCTCTGTCCAGCCTGGCCTTGAACACTGTCGGGGATGGCACATTTACCACTTCTCTGGGCAACCCATTCCAGTGCCTCACCACCCTCACTGTAACGAACTTCTTCCTTATATCTAACCTAACCCCCCCCTGTTTAAGTTTGAACCCGTTACCCCTTCTCCTACCACTACAGTCCCTAACGAAGAGTCCCTCCCCAGCATCCTTATAGGCCCCCTTCAGATACTGGAAGGCTGCTATGAGGTCTCCACGCAGCTTCTCTTCTCCAGGCTGAACAGCCCCAACTTTCTCAGCCTGTCTTCGTACAGGCGATGCTTCAGCCCCCTTATCATCCTTGTGGCCCTCCTCTGGACCTGTTCCAACAGCTCCATGTCCTTTTTATGTTAAGGACACCAGAACTGTCCACAATACTCTATTATACTTCTTACACACTATCACACACATCAGTGGAAGTCAGCTGAATTTACATAATATAACAGCAATCTAGCATAAGTTTGAGTAGAAAAAAAGCCCTCATCACAAAATGAGGTTTAGTAGTGGACTAGCAATATATATTTAAACTCATTTGTTTTAGGCACAATAGGGGAGTAGATGCAGAACATGTAGTGGCCAATGCTGAGGAGGAAGAAAGGTATTGTTCATGTAGAGGGAAAACAAGTAATGCTAGCTTTATCCTATGCCACTGATTTTGTCCTTTTTCGTGTGAGTTTTCTTGTTCCAAGTTTTTTTCTTCCAAAACAGCTGACCATCCTTGCAGCACTGAGTTTTGTTGATCAGCGTCTCTAGGCACTTAGGTAGTTTCCATCACCATAGTATCAGGGGTATTTAGAAGTGGAAAAAGGGTTAGCAAACCAAACTCTGCATCTGTTCACCTTGCCTCTAACCCTCTGGCCTCTCAACAACACAGTTATTAGGGTCAAATCATACTTTGCTTTCCTTTTCCTTTTAATTACCTATGGCTGAGGACATCACAAGTGCTTGTGGGTGATGTGCTCATCACAACTCATGGGCTGGGTGACACCAATCAGTAAAAACTGATGTTTCAGGGACTTCTACTGGCAGAAGACTTCAAAACAAGCTTCCCTTTAAGCACACTGTCCCACTACGACTCTTCTTACATTCCAGTGCAAGCATATGCTTTGGCGGTTTGCTTAATCAGGATTTTATAATCAGGCGTTGTTCATACTATTAGGCATGTCATTCTGCTAATGATGATAAAAAAGCAAGCATCGGTTCACAAGTAAATGCCTGCAATTTGCATCACAGAAATGGAGGAATTAACTCTCAAACGTAAGCTCAGAAGCCCATCTAGCCATTAAAGTTATTAGATCTTGTCATGAACCTTTTCCCTTTCTGTCCTGAGGCTAGAGTGTTTTCAACTAAAGACCGTCTCTCACTGGAGCGGGGATGTATGTGTTTACAGGCATGGGGAAGCCTATGCAGCGCTCAAGCCTGCCAGATCCACTGGGAAGACCTCCAGGTCCGTTCTTCCAGCACAACTCAGAGGCCAGCTCAGGGCTGTGGTCAACCTCATACATGGATGCTGGTGTCTTAAATTTCTCATATCTTAATTTCTTAAAGAGTGAATTCCTCTTATGTAAAGCCAAGATGCTACTGGGACATTTTAATTCCTGGTAATCTAATGAGGTCACAAGTAGGCTGTAAAGTGTGCGCAGTACTCACACAAGTCTGCTCCCATGGACATCTGTGGTGGAACAAGAAAATCCCACCTAGTTGCACATGTGAGACTAAACACTGAAAGGCACAACCAGCGTTGGGGTTTACAAAGAGTGTACCTTTACTGGTGCTTTCCAGATGAACTGCCACTGCAAAACCTGCAGCAGACTTAAGGTATAATTACTGTCACTGTTATCAGACTTCACAGCATATGTGAGTATGTATCGCTTTGCTCCATTGTAAGGAGGTTGGGGGGGGGGTGTTGTTTTAAATTAAAGCTTTCTGTTTTTTCCAAAGATTATACCTGTAAAATCCTGTACAATTTGGAGAGGGGTGGTATGGGGGGGTAGAGGAAGCAAAAGCCATAGAATGCCACAACCCACGGTAAGTAGTAAGAAGATCTGTCAGATACCCTTTTTAAGTTGTCACTGTTATATTTACTAAATGAACTCATTCCATTTCTGAAACAGCTGAAGAACATACTTTCTTTGATATGAGGAATGTATTGCAAATCTATTATTCTTGTAGAGCTGATGTTATTTTTAAATGTCTTCTTGTATCTTTTGTCAAAGGAAACCAAATTAAATCGTTCACTATTAGTTGCCTTTTTTAATTTTTTAAAAGATGATGCTGTGTTATAAAGGTGAGTTGGGTAAATGAGGAGGTGTGTGATGTTTACATTGACATGAACCTAATTACAGTAAGACATAAGCTCTTAAATTACAGAAATTGTAGGAAGAGAGGTAAACCTTGGGGCCAGGCCTCCAAATCCAGTCCTGAGAACTAAACAAGTACATGCTCTAGATGTGTACAAGTTAGCTATTGCAGTAGCAATGCTTTAGGTGCAGGGCACACAAGTTAGGCACCAAGACCCTTGTGAATAGTTGGAGATATTTAAATGCTCCCAGAAGGCAGTCCCAAATTGGCACAGGCTGCACCAGGAGATTTCTAGGGCCCAGGCAATAGGAAATGGTTGTCAAATTGCACATCCAAGGGCAGTGGTCTTCTTCAGAGCACACTGCTGAGTACCCTGTAAAATAGAGCAGATTTCAGAATTGTAGCCAGTCCCTGTCCTTGATAAACCATCTAACGGTAAAAGTATATGTACAAAAGAGGAGAGACCCAAGCTCAGCACCTTTCTAAGCTTTAGAAGCTGTGGACCCATATCTGCCCTAGGAGAATGCACGGCCAACTAGGGCAGTAGAGGATAGGAAAGCAGAGATGGGGCAGTTACACTTGGACTAGGTTGACCCTCTGCCCATCTGCCTGGAGCTTTGGCATTATGCAATGTTCTTGCAAGATGCAGAAGAGGACCAATGTGAGAGAGCCAAACTCTCTGTAGCTGAACTTCTCAGCTTGAAGGATTCCCAGCAAGGTTTCTACTCTTGGAGTTCATAAAGGAGGAACCAAACTCCTGATTTCCTCTTAATCCCTTCAAAAAAATGAGGAGGGTGGTCATGACATGTCTTAAACTGCAGAAAATTGAGAAGGAAATCAACATCTCCCTTTCCCCTTCAGTTCTCCAGGCCAGAGCCTGATTATGTGAATGTGAGAGGCACAAGAACTTATTTTGATTTTCACAGATCATGTCTTAAAAGAAAGCACCTCCATTTGCAAGAAAGGTAGCCAGTTCACACAGCAGTTCATCTGTGAGTGCCTATTTTCTGCATCCTGGTGCTACCAATCACTGTACAGCAGCGTGTCCAGACACCCACAGTATAACCTAAAGAAAATGAGATAGATTTGCCAGCTGAAGCATCGGTCATGCAGCAAAATGGTCTGGTGGGTCATGAACTAGGAAGCCACAGACAGGTTTTCTGGATCTCAGCTGCAGGTTACAAAAGTTCACCTAAATCTTGTTTTAACAGTATAAATCTTTGTGTGGTTCAGGCCCTCAATTCCGTGCATATACTCTCAGAAGTGACAAAGGGGCACTTGGTGGCATTGCCACAACAGACCCTTCGGTTGTGCAAAATACATTCTGCTTTAGGTGCACAGGCATTTTTAAGAATTTGTTTTTCTCTGGCTTTTCTTGAATTAATGTTAATAAAAGCTGCCCCAACCTCTTATTTTTCTATATGAACACAAAAATTGCAGCTGCCTGCCAAGTCTGCTGAGAGATGGATGTAATAATTTTCAATTGGACTGTTAGCCCAAAGGGAACCCGATAGCAAGAGATTGACAGACGCAGCATGGATTATCTTGCGCTCTGAACTCAGCCCAATTTGTGGTTTGTTGCAGGTGCTAAAGAGATTGATATTGCTGCTACCCTGGAGCACTTGAGGGACCAGAGACCAGGCATGGTCCAGACAAAGGTACTGTCAATAAATCCACTGGGATTTTAAATACATTAAAGGTCTTTCACAGTAGTTGTTTTCATGACAGAAGAGAGAGGGTATGACCTAATTTAACGCAGGTCGCTTGCTGATTACTCTGTTTGGCTCCCTACCAACTGAGGTTTATTTATGCTGAAGATTTATCTAGGCTACTTTCTTTAGCATCTTATATCTTTAGCATCTGCTCTTTTTTGTAGCATCTCCAACATCTGTCTTGATTACCGTATATGAAGGGCAGTCAAGACAACAAGCTGTAGCCTACTAGAGAAAATGTGCATTTAAAAGAATGTTCTTGCTTTCATCCTGAAATATGGATTATTTTCTTAGAGTATCTGTGCTTAACTGTGCATGTAATATTTTTATTAAAGATTCAACTTACTAAAGAGAATGTAACTAACTGCTGCATTTTTTTTTCTTTTCTGGGAAAAAAACTTTTGAATTAAAGGAAATACAGTTTTGTAGGAAATTGACTCATTTTTAGTATCTTTGTACAGAAGAGCTTACATCATGCCTAAAGCCATATCTTTTATGGATGTAGCATGGTAACTTTATTTGTACCCTTTGGTTAAGTGAACATCTTACTCTATAATTCCTGTCAGTTGTAATAGTTTTGACATTTTTCCACAACGTGAAACTTTTAAAGATAGCTGATGGTGTGACTGTAGCCCCTTAAATTAGAAATGAACCTTTCTGTTATTAACAATTTCAGTGATGCATGGAATGATCTATGATTCTGTGAATGATATTTTGGGGTATTAGCTGCAATTTAAGAGCTGCAAATATGACAATCAGGAAACTCATTTTTTCATGGAGAAAAAATAAATTTGTATATGACATTGTAAAATATCAAATGAGAGTTACAGCCCCAAACTGAGTAACAAAAATGCTGTGACAGGCAGTGCCATGTCCAGGCTGGAACTGATAGGAAAGTGTGCAGCATTTAGGGAATTGAAATTGCTGAGGGACAACAGTGAAATATGTGTGTTGCAGGAATCATTGGTTCATAACTGTTCTTAAATCCCTTCCTAATCATTTTATCTTCCCTATAATAGTAGGATGTGTGGTTCTGGAGAACAGCTGGGGGGGCATTAATTATTATTTACCAATTAAGGAAGTGAATGAAAAATAAAGATGAGCCAGTCAAAGCTAACTAATCTTTATCTGCAAGTAAGACATAAAATTGCACAAATCTTTCTTCTGCTTTGATTATTCAGGCTGGAAAAAAGATGCAAATAGCACACAGTATCCAATGTCACATATATTTACTCTGAGGGAAGATGCAAGTCCTAAACTACTGTGTAAATGTATCCAAAATATATAGCTGATCTGTAGAAATATAGAGCTCAGATTTCAGTTTCCTTCTCAGTGCGGAGAAATTTCAGCTTGTTGCCTTCAACAAAAGAAAAAGCAAAGTTCCATAACCAAAGAATGAGATTCTGTGAACAACTGCTCTTACTTAGCTCAGAAATAGTTACTTCAGTCCCATGAAAATTTCACTCAAGACATGTTTTTCCCCTCCAAACATTTATCCGAAAAAACTCCAGAAAAGAAATGCATCCTGTGTTTTCATCCAGGATGAAAAATTTTCTAAGGATATTGCTTATCTCTGCTCTTGCTCCTTCTTCCATCATTGTCATTTTCCCTAAAAACACCCAAATCACTTATTCAAGCTAATGTCTTGCAAATTATAAATATCTGGTTACATGTTAGCAATGCATGATCCCCAGAGAATTTTTCTGATGGATTTAAACAAACCCCTGTGCTTTCCCAACTGAATACAAATGAGGAATATTAGACTCTTGGAGTAATTTAAAACGATGGATTAAAAGTCAGGTTAGAAATGCCAATTACAGAATATCCCTAGGCAAAATAAACACCAACTTCCTTCACCAGTGTTATTGTGTTTCCAGCAGGCAGCACTCCACATTTTCAATGAGCATGTGAAAGATTTGTTTGCAACATTTTGTCTTCTGGAAGGGATCTTTAATTCAAAAGCACTGTATATAATAAATGGTAATGAAATTATCATAACAGCATTCTGCATTTCTGAGAAGCATAATAGAGGGCTTGTGGTTTTGTTTGTATTTTTTTGCAGGGGAATCATAAAATAGAATTGATATGCCACATGTGAGAGGAGAAAGTAATGAAGGAAAAAGTGTATTCTCTGTGATGGGAAGAATACATATTTCCTTTTTTACTCTCTCCTGTATCTTTCCTTGGGCATATCTGTAATATTTAGCTAAGGTTCTTTATTGGGTCATATATGCTATATTTACTCAGTTTGTTTTCTTGGGAATTTTTATTTGTAGACTTAATGAAACAGCCTATTATTTTTTACTAAATACGTCCTTGTCATCTCTGCATTGTAGGTGATGCCTATAAGCGATGCATATATAGGACTGATGCCACAAAATATGGCTTTCTGGCTCTGTTTTCTAGGCAAAGCTAGATGTTAAAATTCACCTCCAGTAAATTTTGTCTATGTGAATAGCATGTGTGAATGATAGCGCAGCTCTACAAAACAGCAAACTGAGCTTCTTTAAACATTATTGAAATTAATTTGCTCTCACTCTGATTGTTGTCATGAGAACGTGCAAAAGGTGTGTAAAGGCTTTCCTTTGGAGGCTGGTGATTTATGTCAAGGAAAGCTGCACTGTTTGCATGTCACCTGTGCATATTATGCAAAAGGAAGGAGGGGGAAGAGCTCAGCTGCACCATTCCAGAAAGACCATGTCCTCATACAGCTCATGTGTCTGCTTTACTGTCCCCTTCACTGTAGTGTTTCACAGTCATTTTTGAGCTCTGACTGTAAAGATGATGCTTTGTAAGTTGTTTTGCCTCAGTAATGTAAGGTTGCACCTGATGTTAGCTGGTGGTCTCCACTGAACTTGTCTCCAGTATCCATTATGAGCTTTGGAGTTCATGTTGATCAGTCAATGTTCCTCATATGAAACAGACACTTTTCTTCAGGCGGTGCAATGATGCCCTGTGCTCATGTGAGGGCTACCCTTCTGCGAGGGATAAAGCTAGTTGCAGGTCAGATTATCTCCACCCTGACAGATCTTCACAACAAGGTGAACATCTCAGAACAACAAGGTTAAAGGGCAGATTTGCCCAGTGAATAACTTTGCAGTAACATATGTTATTTTCATCAGTGGGAGTAACATTAAAGTACTGCAGTCCCTGATCTTAAAAGCTTTTCCTGACTGTAAAATACTCAGATGAAGAGCACATTAGGTAGCCTCATTACCATGGGCAGCTTCCCTTCTTCCGAACTGACACCCACATCTTGGAAGAGGCATCTGCACCACTCTGAAACTTGGCTGCATCACCATGTCAACTCCACCATGCTCAGATCAGCCTCTTCTGTTCTTGTGCTCCCCATGCTCCAAGGACTGGCGGTGACAGGGACCAGCTGTCCCACTCACATCTGAGCTCCAGCATCCTGGGATCACCTGTTTTGCCCCTCTCCTGGCCAGCCCCAGCAGAAGGATCTCCCACCCTACCCAGGCTGCTCCACAGGTCTCCCATCTTGCAGGACTGCACCAATGGGCTCCAGCCACTGCCAGTTCTTCCTGCCAAGGTCTTTCTCCCAGCAGCAAGTACTTCTCATGCACCAGCTCAAATTTTCTAAAGCTTTATGAGCTCGTACAAGCACCCAATTTGGTTATGGCATGGCATGTCCAGATGAATTTCCTCTTTGCTTCCACTGCCCTCCAGCTGCTCTCACATATTCAGCACACTCTGTTAAAATACAGCTGATGCTCCTGGGTGGCCACCAGCATCTCCAGTCTTTTCTTTAATTGCAGAGACCTTGGGGAGTGCGGAGAGGCATAGGCAGGCATACACACCATTTTCTGTGCCTAATGAGGACGAGTCCTACTCTTTAGGGTGAATTGATGTCTGATGGAAAACTGTTGGCGGCAGTCCAGCAAATGTACAAGGATGCCACTTTGACAGCACCAAGCAGACAGCAAAATCCTTGAGTGTCAATGTCTCTGAGAAATTATTCTGAGTTTTGTTCTTTTTCTGCTCAGGAACTGTGCCCATGATTGCTTCTCTCCACATGGGAGATGACTGCAGTGGGGTAAGACAAGGCAGAGAAGTCTGGCACTGAATTTTAAGAAATAAAAGTCAGCTGCCTTTCTAAACCGGGAGTTGCACATCTGGAGTTTGTTCTTTCATCCTTCCTCCAGATTTCTACAGTACAGTGAAACACTCTGGAAAATTAATACGATTAGACCTCCATTCTCAAAGTCAGTTCTTCAGCTGCTCTTGACTCTGGCTGGCTTAAACCACTAGATTACTTCTAGAAAACCCAGAAGCTTCTCCACAGTCCTTGTGAGGTGTCCTTGATTTGCCTGTATTCTGAGTAAACTTCCCACATTTCTTCCTTCATCTGAGAAGTTGCAAACACCGAATCATCCTGTCGGATACTTGAATAAGCTAAATTTGGAAGAAAAATGACTTGCCTAGAAAATGTAGCTTCTGCTAACCTTGACGAAGTAAAATTCCTTTGTCCTTCTGTAGTACTACACAGTTCAGGAGTGTGTTAGTGTTCCGCTTAGAAGAGGTGGCTGTTCATGGCTGTGTCCTTCACACCTCTGCCAACCCAGCGCAGAAGCCTGTTTGTAATTTTAGGTTTGTTCTTACAGTAATTTAATAACAGAGAAAAGCCTTCTCAAGTATTTTTTTGAATAAGAGTGGTCTAATCATCCTTAGTTAATTTGTGGGTGCAGAAAAGCCGTTAAAATGGGAGGCTGAAAAAGGACAGTAACAGGTAAACCAAAAAGCAGATATTGTTCTATGTAATAGATATAAGGTGAGAAGATATTTATTCTAGGTGATTTCAACTAGAAACAGTATTGAGAGAAGCCAAAGGCTCTGCTTTGCAGCACCTCGCCTATTTCATATCTCAATTATGTTAACAAGTTTCCATCTCTGTGTCAGAAGGAAATGGCTAGTGATCAACTACTCCCAAACCTTTCTGACCATGCAGTTGCAATGCATCGTGTCCCAGTAGCTTAGTTTCTGCTACCAACATTTTTCTCCATTAAAATGACTCCAGCTTCAAGATGCTGTCAAATTTGTTATATGGCATCAATAATCCCAGAACATTTTGTTCCTTTCCATTGCAGTGTACAGTTCATCCTGCATATTCATATTTTTAAAAATGTCTTGAGGATGCTCAGCTGCAGAATAGTGCGCCAGGCTTTTGGAAAGTGTTTTGCTTTATTATTCAGAGTATACATTTGTTCTCTCCGCAGGAGCAGTTTGAGTTTGCTTTGACAGCGGTTGCAGAGGAAGTGAATGCAATACTCAAGGCACTTCCCCAGTGAGCAGCTCGGTCTCCTGAAGGTTCGCGCAGGATCTGTCCCTCGTTTTCCTCATCCTCAGTCCCTGTGAATGTTCTTGGAAACCGTGACCTGACCTTAACTGTGTATCTTCTGTTGTAACCACATAGTGATAGGGTCCTTACAAACTCCTTTAGCTGGTAAAAGTTCAACAGTTAAAATGTGTATTCTGGTTTTTGGGGTTTTAAACAAATTTTTTTAAGTACATTGAAGCCTCGGATTAAGTGACAGAACAATCCATCTAATTCCTTTCACATCCTCGAAGCCCTGAATGTCACACTTTGAAAGCACACATTCATGTTCTTAATAGCAAATATACAGTATTGTGGGTACTTAGTGCAGTCAATATAGTCTCAGAAAACAGTGTTCTGTTATATTTTGTAACTTCTCAAAGGCTGAATAAGGGGAGGGAGGGGAGCCTGAAGAGGATGGTGATTGTTCTTCTACAGTGCCAAGCTAGAGCATGAGACAGTGCTGAGGGTGTGAATAAACACAGGTCCAGGCTCTGGCAAAGAGGGCTTGCACCTTCTCATGGTGGGCTTTGGCAAGCAAATGTTTTCTTAACTGTTGTTTACTTTTCAGCTTTGTGCCATGAATGGGAGAAACTCTGAACTACAAGTAAATAGGTTGCACAGTTGTTGCAACCGGGGAGAACAAGTTGGTCACACTAATGGGAAACCGGGGAATAACGAGCACAACTCTAGCCATGTACCTACCACTGACAGCACACAAAAAGAGAGTGTAGACTCACCTCAGGTGACAGGGAAAGGCCCTGTCAGCAGTCAGGTAAATGTCTGGAGCTGTTATGAAAACAGATGGTTGATTTTATGGGATTACTGAGGAAGAAAACAGGACTCTCCTCTTTATATTTTTTGCATATTCCTCTGTAAAACTGTGCTGTGCCATCCTTTTTAGCCAGGAAAATATATTTCTCTAAAACCTTGGCTGAAGGAGAAATCTCCAATCTGCATTTTATGATTCTCATCAAGTTTGTCTGATCCAGACATTTGTTGCACCTTTCTGCAGAAGCTCTGCTGGCTCTTTGTTCTCAATTATACCTATTCTAATTAACTGTTAAGGGATAAAGAAGCACACAGGTTGAATTTCAGACATTCTTGTGTTCTCAAAATCCTAATGCCTACTGTTGCAAAGTAATGCTAAAATATGTCTGTAAATGGTTTGGTTATGCAATCTTGCGTATGTGAATTCACAGGTATGGTTTTGGTACTCTTCTGAAGGCATTTACATTATTGATAGAAAGTACCCTGATACATTTAAGTGAAGAGCCTGAGAGTAAAATTATCAAAGGTACTTAAGTGATCTAGGCTCTTAATTTCATTTTGAAAAGTAAATACTTGGATGCTTTTTCATATGTTATCCTACATCTCTGTGATTTAAGAATCTGGGGTGCTTTTTTTCTAAAATCTTAAGAGTGTTGTGTGCTTGAAACCATATTATGCTAACCGTTTCACTTCAGCACTGAAAATATATCATTGAATTTAATTTGGGAAGGGGAAGCTTTTATAAACTTCTGATCAGTGAAATGTTAAAGACAACAATATCACAAAGTTTTGCTGGCACGAGGTAACAGGCATCTATCAAAATCAACCATTTTGTGTTGTAGGTGTGGGTATTGGTGATTTTTTCTTTTTAGCAATTAAAAAGTTATTAAAAAAAAAAATAAAAGCAGAAGGCTTGTTACTTTTTGCCATGCGTTTTGCTATGCCTTACTTGGTATATGCTGTTGCTTAATTTGTGCATTCCATTACAATAACAGTACAGAGCAGTTACTGCAGATGCCATCATCCTCTTAAGTACACATACTGTACATTAAGCCACATGTTTATTTTATGGCCTAAGCATTTTAGAGCTTTCCTAGCAATAACTAAAAAAACTAATGGAGTATAAATGAGAAAATTGCCTTTTTCATTTGATAATTTAGGTTTAACAGGATTCTTTTATTACTTTAGCTAACACAAAATTGCAGATCAGGGCAGATGAGATCAGTTTGAGCAGTATCAGCAAGTGTTTGAAGTAGATTTACTATAAGCCACGTACTGCAGCTTTCTGAAAATACAGGTAATTATATCCAAACAAACTGTCCAAAGAATCAAAATTAGAGCATGCTAAGCCAACCTCTTCAATTATGGGGTGAAATTAGTGCAAGATGCCGTGCCATTACCTACTGCCAATGGTCTAGTGGGTTTTTAGCACAGATTTCTGCCCTGGGATTCATTAGCGTTTGCCTTCTGACTGTCCCTGTGCATACCACAAACATGGCTGATGAGCCTTTCTTTTGCACTTCAGGAATATTTTTTAATTGTCCTTTTGCAAATACTTGCATTTCATAATAGCAATTTTGGGGTGATCCCTATTAATTCACAAGCAGCTATGTGTAAGACTTGAATACTGCTCTTCATGCTTCAGAGTTTATTTAGCATAGATTAGAGGGCATTAATCTTCCCCAAGGCTAATGGGGCAGGGATGTATTGTTTTATTCATACTTGTAGACCAGTTTACACAACAGAAAGATGCAGTCTTACTCAGAGGGTTAGAGTATCTCCCACTGAATGTCATTGACAATCCTGTTATTTCAGCCATGTTTTGTACAGTTCTTCCACAAAGAGGTGCCAGGCTTATTCTGTTAACTGTAATCTATCACACAGAGTATTTCCTCTGTGTATAGCATATTGTTCACACCTCTCAATAAATGCTCTGCTTCTGGGGGTGATCTGCTGCAGGGTCTGTTAGTGAAATGCAGGTTTCAGTTGCACTGGGGTGATCCGGAGGGTTTTGACAGTCCGTTTCCCGGGAAGATGCCAAAGCCATGGATGAAGCCACAGAGGTGGACTTCTTATGTAGGGCAGATATTTCTTTACCCTTTTCACTGCAGTTAACTTAATCCTTGTGATTTGGTGAAAGGTGTTGTTCAGGCCACCCCTGATCCCTTGCACTGGACGTGGGACCTGCCCTGAGTTCACTGGCAGGTTGTGTTGAGCTTCTTCCTGGAAGCCAGGATCACCTGAGAGCCCAGGGGCAAATAAGACCTGCAGTCCTTCCCTGTTCAATATTCTGCTTGATCTTTAATAAACTCATTGTGATTGAAGCTTGGGCTGGTGCCTGACATATAGCCATAAGCAGCAGTTGTATAATATTGACCATCCTTGCATTCTTGATAAAGACAAATTGAATCTACAGGTGCTGTTTGTGTGGTTAAATCTTTAAATGACATTTAAGGGGAGGAGCTGCAGGAGGGTGATTTAACCCCAGTGCTCACAGTTTTCTTCCTTGCTGGTCAAAGCCTGCAGCAGGAGGAGAAAACTGTTTTCCCACAGGCATGGCAGCGAGCATGGCTGCTATCCCTGAGCAAGGCCATGACCTGACCAGACTCCACATTTACAGTCACAGTGTGTGCAGATATGAGGGACGGAGAGGTGGTTGTCACCAGCATTGATAGTTCATACAGCACGGTTGCTCTCTCTAGGCTTCGCCCTTCCCATGACAAGGGCCGGAATTTAGAGGGATGGAAGGGCAGGACAGCACTGTTCCCCAAAGCCCAGATCCTTGAGGTTCAGCCCTAGCCACAGAGAAAACAGTGTGGGCTGTTGGCTTCATGTGTTTCAGGTGTGAGCTCTAAGCATTGCTCTTGACCACCATCTGTGGGACCCAGTGCAGCCCAGGTAACATCCAGTGGAAGTCCTTGGCAATTGCGAATGCCAAGAATGAATTTCAGCAGAAAATCCCATATCCAAATCCCAATCTAGTAGCAAAGCAAGCAAGATTATTTTTATAGATTTAAACATTTAAAACTTTAACATTTAAAACATTTAAACTAAACATTTAGAACACTTTAAAATATTTTTTAAATCTACACCGATGTCTAAACCTTGTTCCTGTCTCTAGCATGCATGCAGAACCAATCTCCATCCATCCCCAGGGGAATCACAGCTATAGTACCTGTAAGGAGTTCATGCTTTATTAGTCAAGTGGAACATTAATAAAACCCAGCCCACTTCATCATTTCCAGAATAGTCATTAATTAAAAAAACTGTTTATTGGAATGGAAAACAAGTATTTGATTAGCTTTGTTACAGAACAATAGCTCTCCTAATTTTTATTCTGCATATTTTATTCTTTCTTTAGAAAATTCAGTTGAGATGATTCACTTTTTAAAACTGTACAGTTTCTATGGTTTTGCTTTTTAAATGAGAGTACACTTTGTAGATTTGATTATTATATTTTTCTGTTAAGATTACATTGGGCATTACAAAAGCATTCCCCACCACAGTGAAAAGAAAGCTATCCTGTTGGTTTATTGTATACGAGAAAAAAAATAATTAAAACAAAATTGCAGAGCTGTGGCATACTCAATCCAATTAGAGCATGACTCTCTACTACTCTCCATTTACCACATTAGAAATAAAGTTACACCAGCAAGGTTTCATTTGAAGCTGTTCTTGCATGCTGTTTGTACTGTATTTGATGGCATAATATTGTTTTGTTTACAACCTTTTCTTTCTTGTCATTCTATTCTATTCTTTATATGTATATAGTTTAAAAAAAAAAAAAGATTATACAAAGTATTTTGTTCTACCTCTGTACAAATCATATTTGTGAATAAAGTCACACTGTCTGTGGAGTATGGAATTGTGAATACAGCATTAACAGCTGGTGCTTTGCTTTTATTTGGGGGGTGGGACCAGTACCTCCGTCTGTTACTGGAGAGCTGGCTTCTGAATATGCGAGGTGGGCACGTGGGGTGGCAGAGAAGGGCTCAAACGTCCTGCTGGCGGTTTAGAGATGCAAGTTTAATCTGCTCTGAGCAGAAGAGATTGCAGCTACCTCTGGCTTGGTTGTGTGGCTCTAATATTACAGCTTCCACTGCTTTGATCAAGGCAGACTACTGTGTTTAGACCAGAGAGTGAAGCAGGCAAGAAAAAACTTAAATTACACCGACCCTCCTTGTACAACCAGAAAGTGGAAAAATTTGGCCTATATTGTGTGTCATAGAGTGCAGGAGTTAACAAATGGAATAAATGATACCATCTTTCAGGAAAATTAGAGGGAGGAAAATGGTTTTGGGGAGGCAAGGCTGGAGGATCAGAGTGTAACATAATGGGTGGTACGGGCTGCCCAGGGATTTATAGTTTTAAAATAGTAGCAGGATTCACAGAGGATTTGAACAGGTAATAGAAAATACTCACTATTATATTAAATAAGGTTAAGAGGAATAAAGTCTAGGTTCCCATGTAAGCACAGCATAAAATAACCAGTCTTTTCTCTGAGGGATAGGAAGTAATTTTCCCATAAGCACTGCCCGTTATATGAAGGTTTGTATTTTTCCATGAAATATCCATTGTTAGCTGTGATCAGAGGCAGTCTTCAGAATTAGACAGCCCTGGTATGGCAATTTTCATGGTCCTGTATTGTGTGTTGAAATTCCACTTGCATTTTGAAGAAGACTTAAAATAGTTCACCACTTACTTGGAAATAACTAGAAAAATGTAAATAGAAAGGTAGAAACAGTCCTGGTCCAGCTCACTCCCTTCCCATCAGAAGAATCACATTTTGCATTCTTTAACCTTGTTTATGTAGTTGTGTGTTATAATATCTATGCCTTTCTCACTGTAAGAAGGTGACTTTCATCTTGGAAGCAAAATATATGCACCATTATAGCTATTTTCCTGGTGCTGTAATTTAGGAGGCCTTTCATCTC